ACCGCTGGGCCGAGTACCAAGGCCTCAACAACTGGGACGGGCTGCTGCGCCCCCTCGACCCGGTCCTCCGGTCGGAGATCCTCCGCTACGGAGAGTTCGTCCAGTCGGCCTACAACTCCTTCGACTTCGACCCCTCCTCCCCTTCGTACGGCACGTGCCAGCACGCCAAGCTCTCGGCGTCGGGATCCGCGTCGGGGTATCGCGTGACCAGGGACCTGCACGCGAGCTCTGGGGTCAGGCTGCCGGGCTGGGCCGACGACGTGGCCCCCAGCTGGGCGACGAGGAGGTCGAGCTGGATCGGGTACGTGGCGGTGTGCGAGGAGGAGGAGGAGGTGGAGAGGTGGGGGAGGAGGGACGTGGTGGTGGCGCTCCGGGGGGCGGTCACGTGCTATGGATGTCGGGTGGAGAACTCTGAGCGGCCCACCGTGACTGACTGCATTTGCGACGGCGGCGACCAGCTGGGGTCCAGCGGGATTCCTGATGGGTGGGAGCAGAGGCCGTTTTGGAGCTATGTTCCTTTCTTGTGGGCTGAGCTACACGAGTTTGCGTTGATCAGGGTGAGGTTAACTTTTTGGCTCACGTGATAGCTGCATGTACTACCGATCCATCGAACGAGCTCAAGGTTAATGTAGTAAAAATTTTAAAACAATGGCACGTATATGTCCCTTTCTAAATAATCTCAAATCAAAAGAAATTAATCTTTTTATACTCTTTCTATTTTTAAGTTTTTTAACACGTACGTCCATTTTTTTTTTATTATCGATGTGTTGAATTTGCATCTTTCTAACTACAATTAAATAGGAGAAAAAGGTTCCACACACCCCCCCAAAAAAAATGAACATCAAGATTAGTCTATTTTATTTTCTAATCCTTCTTTTTACCTTCTTTTTAATTACGTATTTTTACCTCACTCACTGTTATATGCCTTCGATCTGCATGTTTTTGCCCTAATTAATTAGTATAGTTCTTGGGCATCTTATCTCAGTTACTTTAAAAAAAATGCGCTAGCTGATCTAATTGATGTTTATATATAAATTAGTTATATTGACTATATTACATCAATCTTAATTTAAAATTTGATCTCTCATTAAAACATACATGCTGCAAATTCCATTAAAGCCTCACTTCCAACTCTCCTTCTTCTGTAAAATGCAGGTGAGAGAAGAAATCAAAAGAATAATCGAAACCTACGGAGGATCGAGAAACAGGCCCCTAAGCCTAACCATAACAGGCCACAGCCTCGGAGCAGCCCTCGCCGTCCTCGCGGCCTACGACATTACCGCCACCGTCAAGAACCATCCGATGGTCACCGTCGTCTCCTTCGGCGGTCCCCGCGTCGGCAACAGCAGCTTCCGACGAAAACTGGAGGAACAAGGGAGCAAAGTCCTCAGGATAGTTAACACTCAAGACATCATCACAAAAGTCCCGGGTTTTGTTGTAGACCAAGAAATCGAACAGAGTGAGAACGAGATTAATATACCGAGTTGGATATTAAGGAAGACCGGCTGGGTTTATGCCGATATTGGACAAGAGTTGAGAGTTAGCGGTGAGAGGACTGCGAATGTTGTGGCTTGTCACGATTTGAACGTGTATTTGAGTCTAGTTAATCAGCTTAGTACCACGTGTCCGTTACGGGCCAGGGTCAAGGAGAGTTTCCGTTGGCCGTTTTCTGTTCAGCTAACGTCTAATGGACGGTGATAATTAAAAAGTGGCAGCTAATTTTCCAGACTGTAACCACAGTTTTAACTGTTTGGAAATGTATTTTTCGATTCATAACTAACAACCAACACATCACCCCCCTGTCGATCGGTCTTATATTTTGGTCCCTGTAGCAAAGCTCCGTAAAGAGAGAAAAGAGTAACTACAATTAATCTTTCTTTCGGGATAATTAATAAATTGGCAATGGACGGTGAGGGTCCATTTCTAGTTGTAAAATTGGAATTTCATTTTCATGGAATTGTCCACTTCGATCGATCCGGCGGATTTCTTTCGGTTCCGTGGTACTAATTGTAGAAAAAACATAAAGTAAGTGAAGAAAAGTGAACAGGGAATGGGAAAAAGGTCATCCTTGTCTTATTATGGTGAGCTCAGGTGGTTGCTTTAACAAGATTAATTTGTCCACTGCACAGTTGCATTCGTAGGGTTGATGACAGGCTGGATTTCGATCGTGAAGCTCTCTTACGTCAAGAGAGAGGACTAATGGCCCTCTTTTTTTTCTTTTTTCTTTTTTCTTTTTTTTCTTTTTTTTTAATTTGTTCCTTTTTCGTTGGAGGTGATTTGAGATAATTGAAGCCGAAAGGGTTGTTTGTAGTTGAAGCGTGATAGGGAAATGATGAAATCTTCGGGACTATAGTTGGTAGCAACCACCGGCCAAATTTTCTTATGAATTTTTGGAGATAGAGAGACGTTGAAACTAGAAATTAAATTATGAGGAAGATATTGATTGAAAACTACGTACTAAGATTTTCGTTGACTAATAATTTCTAGCTTATTAGGGTGCCGTCCACTGTGTGTATACACCATCGATCACGGCCATGTGGAGAGCATGAGTGTGTGTTAAACAATCTCTTTCCTATAAGTCAAATTTTATTTTGCAGTTAATTATTTCAAATTCAAATTAAAATGTAGGTATGTGCTATAGCCTAGTCATATTATTACCGCAAGCTACTTTTATTTTATGGGCTTATTACTAATAGGGATTGTTAGGAGACTTAAGGTAATGTACGTAGTCAATAAATAAGCAATTAATATTGATATATGAGACTTAATTATCACTAGAGAACTTCTTTGTAATCTAGTGAATTCCGTTCCCTAGCTCTCTATAAAATTCCTTGTAGAGAACCGATTTTGTTCTATTAATATCCCTTCTCTCTTATTATTTCCACTTACTAATTTAAGATGGAACCAACAATATTGTACCGCATTCATTAATTCTGATACATTTATGTCTTTTCCATAGACAAAATAATACTATAATTTTAAGGGTGCATACCGAAAAACTATTTTTTTCTAAGATTTTTAGGTATTGGAAATTCCAATTAGGGTTAATAGATAAATATGATTCTATTCCAATTAAATGATGAAACTATAATTAAAGTTTTCATGCATATATATATATATATATATATATATATCTTTTTGTAAATTGTTTGTCATCATCAAAAAGGGGGGAGATTGTTGGGTCCTTTTGTTTTGATGATGATTTACAAATAATTTATATCTAATATTATGTGTCTAGTGTTTATGATTTGTATCTACTATTTGAGAATCACTGTCCAGAAAATGAAACAATTGAATAAGTGAGAGAATGATCACGATGTGGACCTCAACTTAAAGCAGTATTAAAATTTTCCTCTAGTCCCATTCCTATTTTCTTTCTACTTCTAGTATCAGCTAGAACTGAAAACGTTGACTTAATTCAAGCATTAAACCTTGAACTATAAAGTCACCTACCTCTACCTGAGAGTCAACGTGTATCTCCCCTACCCTAACAAGTGTCACTTCTCGGCGACTGCCCACAATCAGAAGTACGTCATCATGAATTTATAATATTATTTACATTCATCATAGCTGGACGCCAACAAGTCTCTACAACTTGTATTCGTAGCGCATATTTCTGTTTGGCCCCACGTCCCATGCTTCTCTCTCTACTGAGCTGCTACTCTTAACTCCTCCATTTTATTCGCCTTTTAATTAATTCGGGCATCCAATTAATTATTGTATATAAATATATGGGAAAAATGCTTCCAGCTCCCAAAAGCCAAGTGAACGTGTTTCCCACCCCCAAGACTTGGTCAATAGGTGTTTTACCCCTAAAAATAAAGATTTTGTTCTCTGAGCCCCCAAAACACAAAACCCAAGACATTAAAACATGTGAAGACCATAATACCCTTCTCTCTCTCTTTCTTTTTTTATTAAAATATGATGATGATTATTTTATTATTTCTCTCTCTCTCTCTTTATCATGATGTACCAAGAGGATAGTTGAAATGATTGATGAGGATTATTTTATTATTTTCGTTTTTTATTATTTTGGTTGTTTGTATTGGGAGGTTGTTAAAGTTACGGGTTGATTGTTAAGGTTACGGGTTGGTTGTTAAGGTTAAGGGTTTGTTGTTAAGGTTATGAATCCTCTCTCTCTCTTTCTTTTTTTATTAAAATATGATGGGGATTATTTTATTATTTTTGTTTTCTCTCTCTCTTTATCATGATGTACCAAGAGGATAGTTGAAATGATTGATGATGATTATTTTATTATTTTCATTTTTTCTTATTTTCGTTGTTTGTATTGGGAGGTTGTTAAAGTTACGGGTTGATTGTTAAGGTTACGGGTTGGTTGTTAAGGTTAAGGGTTTGTTGTTAAGGTTATGAATCCTCTCTCTCTCTCTTTCTTTTTTTATTAAAATATGATGGGGATTATTTTATTATTTTTGTTTTCTCTCTCTCTTTATCATGATGTACCAAGAGGATAGTTGAAATGATTGATGAGGATTATTTTATTATTTTCGATGATAAAGAGAGAGAGAAAACAAAAATAATAAAATAATCCCCATCATATTTTAATAAAAAAAGAAAGAGAGAGAGAGGATTCACAACCTTAACAACAAACCCTTAACCTTAACAACCAACCCGTAACCTTAACAATCAAATCCACAACCTTAACAACAAATCCACAACCTTAACAACAAACCCTTAACCTTAACAACCAACCCGTAACCTTAACAATCAACCCGTAACTTTAACAACCTCCCAATACAAACAACCAAAATAATAAAAAATAAAAATAATAAAATAATCCTCATCAATCATTTCAACTATCCTCTTGGTACATCATGATAAAGAGAGAGAGAAAACAAAAATAATAAAATAATCCCCATCATATTTTAATAAAAAAAGAAAGAGAGAGAGAGAGGATTCATAACCTTAACAACAAACCCTTAACCTTAACAACCAACCCGTAACCTTAACAATCAACCCGTAACTTTAACAACCTCCCAATACAAACAACCAAAATAATAAAAAACGAAAATAATAAAATAATCATCATCAATCATTTCAACTATCCTCTTGGTACATCATGATAAAGAGAGAGAAAAAATAAAAATAATAAAATAATCCTCCATCATATTTTAATAAAAAAAGAAAGAGAGAGAGAAGGGTATTATGGTCTTCACATGTTTTAATGTCTTGGGTTTTGTGTTTTGGGGGCTCAGAGAACAGATTCTTTATTTTTAGGGGTAAAACACCCATTGACCAAGTCCTAGGGGTGGGAAGCATGTTTACTTGGCTTTTGGGGGCTGGAAGCATTTTTCCCTAAATATATATATTTTTTCGCTTTTTGTAATAAAGACTATGGTCTCGGCCTGACTTAAAACTTGTTATTTATATTCAACCTCCCGATTTGATATATGGTGATTTATTAATGCTGATACTATGATCATGTTACAACGATGGATATAAGATGAAGAAATGAGTACGTATATAGTTTTTGCCAAATTAAGCTTTTTAAATCCTCTTATATATGCTATTATTTAATATTATCTGGTTGATATAGTTTATTTATTTATTTTTAATTTTAATTTTTTTAGTGGAAAAACAGAAGCACGTACCTAGTTGATGTGTAGTTAAGCTTGAATAGCTTTACGCTCTAACCAAAAGTTAAGTTAAATAGCGACTGATGACATGCTCGTATTCAACATTAGAGCATCTCCAACAGGTTCTTCAAAATTTTCTTCAAAATGGGGAAGCAAAAGTCATATTCTCCAACTAATTTTTACACCAACTCCAACAGCTTCCCCATTTTGAAGAATTCATTTTTTCCTCCAAATATTTGGAGAATGCTGCAGATTTGGGGAAGTTTCCCCATTTTTTCTCCTACATCCCTATTTTAGGGAATGAGATGGAGAATCTGTTGGGCCAAAAACCTAACTAAATTCTCCAAAAATAAAAAATTAATGGGGAAGCTGTTAAAGATGCTCTTACAGACTTTCACATGCGCACATTTTGTAGGGCATATGACATCCAATTAATTCTTTAAAATCTAATTAAAATTACTATATTTGGAGTTCGTTTTTCTTTATTATTATTATTATTATTTGGTACCACTTTTGGCCACGTAGACTCAGATGTATTACAATCAAGCTCCAGTCGGTATGGGGGCACACGATGGGACATTGAAAGCACTTTTTTTTCATAAATGCAAGAAGGTCAATTATTAAGCACAATCTGGCTCGTTGCCAAGTTGTAAAATGCGATAAATCTCCGAACTGCACAATCTGGCTCGTTGCCATGTTTCACTCCATTCAGAAAGCATCAGGACAATAACTACTCGGGGACTAGTTTGATTTGTGCTTGTTTCATACAAATTAGTTTGGTTCAAATTTAAAATTTTACAATTTATAACTGCTTGTAATCATTGACGTTTTGTTTTGGGTTATCAATGTTTTTTAAAACTTTTGTTGAGGGTTAATTGCGATTGAAACACCTTCTTTCTGTTGGGAATTTAACGCCTAAATCCCCTAATGCAACGGAAACGCGGTATAGAGAACAAGTACACCAAGATTTAACGAGGTTCGGCAACTGCCTACGTCCTCGGGAGCCACACAGATAATTTCTTATTAATCAAACAAGAAATTACAATTTTAGGAGCAGATCCCTAAACTGGGATTTCTCAAATAAACACTGTAGCTACAGTGTTAATAATAACAGGGTATGAACCCTTTCAATACCCACTTGAGAATAAATACCCCACAATATAAAATCCCCTCTTCTTAATTCTCTTTCTCTCTCTAAATCTCTTTACTTAATCTCCCCTCAAAACAACGTTGAAGCTGGGGATTAAAAAGGAAAATCGCTGCTGCGATTTTAGGGAAAAACGCTGCTGCGTTTTAGGGCAGATCGCCGCCGCCGCCACCAGAGAGAGATCGTAGGCGGAGATGAGAGAGCTGGCGACAGCCTGTCGCCAGCGATTATAACCCTGACAAAGGTCGGGTTCGCCCAAAAAGCAAACGCAGAGGTCGGGGGGGCAGGCGAACGCAGAGCTCGCCATCGACGCAGAGCTCGCCATCGACGCCCGCTTCGAACGAACGCAGAGCTCGCCATCGACGCCAGCTTCGAACGAACGCAGAGCTCGAGGCTTCGAGCTCGTCCTGTCGCCTGGACCTCGCCGCCTGGACCTCGCCGCCGCCATCCTGGAGCTCGTCGGAGCTCCTCCGCCGCCGGAGGTTGGTATCCACCCCCAACCTAACACTTTCTAGTTGTTACTTCCGCCTAAATCTTTACATGTTGTTTAATTGTAGTCATAGCTATCTAGAATGTCTCGGTCACATGCAACTGTAATGTAATTTTCTTTACAAGAGATTGCCTGCTCCATGGTTTTAGTAATTTCAATTCCTTAAAGCTTTCATCATTGAAACAACAATAGTAACAGTTCGGATACGGCAAAAGTCAGAGGGTCCCACGACGAGAAACAAGTCACCAGCGGGGCAAAAGAGGTGTTAGAGCGAATGAGCAATCTTGAGCCGATCCACGATGTCCCTCAATAATATGTGGACAGAAAATTGGGAAGTTTGTACGAACATAGTCAATCATAATTCTGATCAATAATGCTGCTTATTCTGCCTAACCCATAAAATACAGGCTTACAGTTTACTCTCCACCGAATGTCTACGGCTGATGGACTCGTAGACTTTGTACGTGGTACTTATGACCAGCCTCTTTTTGTTCCATAATTGCTCAACATGGGATTTTGCTTGCTTTGTTTATATGCGAAGTTTCTTTTACGAGTTATAGTCCGAAAGCACCTTTTGGTTGTAAACGCTTCTCCAGCGAGATCGATATTGACGTAGTGAATTTAAATATATAAATAAATAAATAAAAGTAAATCTCACTGAACCCCCTGAATTTTGGTGGGTTTTCTCATGCATAAAATTCATAGGCTTTTGTGCAAGATCCCACAAAGTTCAGGGGGGGTTTGTGAAATCTGTCCAAAAACGGCCTCCATAAAAGGATAAGAGAATTTGGCAAAGCAACAACAGATCAGACGTCTGTTTGAAAGTCCATTGCTTAAATAATGATAATGATGATGACCTACCAAAGTGAGATTCAAAGAGGAGCATATATCAATCATGTAAGGCATTGCCTAGCAGAGCTCATTAATGAAAATGCCTCGAGCACGCTTGGCAGTTCAAACCATAACATCATCCATTCTATCAAAATATTCCGCATGCGACGGGCAGTTCTGAGCCACATAAAAGGCGTAATTACCATATTGCCTCCCTTATAGCCCGTCGAATGCTCATGGTTCTGACAAGTACTCAAAATGTTTACTGCATCTCTAACCAAAATACTTCCAACAGAATCGATAATTTCAAGAAGGAACGGAAAGAGGAAATCATGAGCTCATTCAAAATGTTTATTGATAGATATGAGTAATAAATACAAACAAACCCCAGAATCCTACCGACATCTTGCTTTGTTTTTTTTCTCATTTTGTTTCAGGAAACAGTTAATATTGAATCAAAATTTCACTATCACAGAGAATCAGGAGAAGGCAAGGGTTGAGCATACTCATCTCAAAAGAAAACTAGCTACTCCCTCTGAAATCTGATGCAGTAACCTTTTTTTTTTCCTTTTTTCTTTTGAATAAACAAAGTGGCCAAGGTTTACTAATGAAAACTCACAACTTCGCAAGACCAATTTCAATAACTACTGTAGTGCTCTGCTCTCTAAGAAATTTACTACAGACTATCTGCAATCAGCACCAACAGCTTCCTGAACAGATTTGAAACCATCTCTTTCTAAGCACTCTGCCAACTCAGCCTGAAGGAAAAGAAAAAGGTGGTGTATCAGAATAATAATAATAATATACAAAAAGCCTGATGCCGATAAAAGAATGATACATGATGAAATAATTATCTATGAGGACATAAACATTTGATGTATAACTTTTCAACTTTAGTAGCCACTCTTAACTCAACAAACAGGATATTTCTGATCAAAGGAAACCGAGGTGAAATTGAGAGGAAGATTATTGCAGGTAAATAATAGGAAGGTTTTACATTTGTAGTTCAATGCAAAATTGGGAAAATTTTGAACAATTCATAATTCACATTTACCGATTTTCTCGAATTTCGAATATTGCTTAACTGGGATGAAGTTCAAGATATTTCTGAATATGTTCAAGCACCCGGTTTAAACATTAAAGGCTCAGATCAATAGAAACAAACCTTTATCAGGGGAATGAGTGCTGGTCCACCATAAGCAAAAGCTGTATAAAGTTGAACAAGCGATGCTCCAGACCGAATCTTTTTGTATGCATCTTCACCACTGCATTTGACAAGCATTTAGCAGGGTTCATTTGAAATTTTTGTTTTGACAATTACCTATCACTGTTAATTATATTTATAGCATCAGATACCTGCTAACACCACCACAACCAACAAGAGGGACTTTACCCTGTAACATAGTAAGGGGTACAAAGGAGAGAGGTTAAATCGCAACAGATATCATAAAAGCATGTAACTGGAAATGTTATCCAAGGGACAAACTTTGAAGCATAGTGGAAGCATCAGTTGTAAACATATAGATCTCAGTGTTTTGCAAGAAAATTAAGAAAAAAATTTAAGTGACTTACCCTGGTGAGGATATACATCTCCTTAAGAACATTGGTTGACATCTCAAAGAGTGGTTTGCCACTTAAGCCACCAGCTTCTCCAGCTAATGGGTGCTGGCTTACAGGGTCTGGCCTTGAGATGGTCGTATTTGATATGATCTGTGGAGGAAAATATTTTCCGTGAATCATAGAATTAACTGATGCAATTACCGTTATCAGGATAATACAAATAGGAGATGTATATTTGAAAAAACAAGACAAACATGACAATAGCATGTTCCTTTGCAAATATGATGATGAAGAAGCCATCCTGCCTCCATCCATCCTCAAAGTTTGCAGCAATCATCAGTATTTACACACATTACTGTCAATGGAAGGATAAAAGAAAATACCCAATAGGTAGGTACACTTGAGGAGAGGAGGATAAATGAGAACCGTCTACTCCATCTCATGCATTACTTAAAAGTGAAAAAAAAAATTCAGCAATGACTTCATACAGATTACATCCGGACTCTGGACAAGATAGATAATGTAAATCAATGGAACGCCAAAAAGAAGCAGAATAATTACACTCCCTAAGCAGAATATTATTAATGAAGAAGTGCTACAGATAGGCCTATGCAAACTTTGGTTAGAATATTATAAGGATATGATAATACAACTTAGTGGAGGAGATAGCCCTCAACAGAACTGAATGGAAGCGTAGAATTCAAGTAGCGGACGCCAAAAACTTAGGATAAAGTCTTTGTTGTTGGTGTAAGGCCATTTGTCACATAGCAACCATGCCAAACATGACAAAAGAAAATTAGTTCTTAGGACGGATAAAACATAGAAGTTTAAACAGGAAGCTTTTTTCTAGGACCACTTGTCCGAGAATGCATGTGGCTACCTGGCTTCCTCAAAACCTAGTTTATCTAAAATTATAGAAACAAAGTATTAATAGAGGTACAATTATTCTTTCCCATGAAACTATGTACTGATAGAAGAAAATGCTTTAACATGGCCAAATCATGGATTACAAAGATTTACAGGGTGCCAGAGCCAATCAGTGTCAAGGAACAATCAATACACTTTGCTGAACACTAGCTTTATGGAAAATAAAGGCCAAGTGAGCAGCTTGTTGTATGATGGAAAGCTTGTTGGAAGTGACATGAAAAATCAGGATAGTGCTAAACGGACAGATATACGAACAGCAGTGCATGGATGCCGCAACTTACAAATTGAGGGGGGAAAGGACATTTAGCAATAGTTTCTTATACCCATCCTCTTCTTCCTCTTTAAATGGGATATAACTAGACAATCACTGATCACTGAAAATGTCCTCTCTTACATTGGAGTTCCTTGAATCAGTGAGTGCATAAGTAAGAAAGCTCCACCCAGAGCTTCATATTTAAAAGTTCAGGAAATGCTTCTACTCAGCAACTATTCCAGATAATGTGTCCTAGGTAGCAAAACTCATGACCCCAACAAAAAAATGAAAATGAAAACAAAAAACACATGCATACACTTACAGATTTCGAAAAGAAAAAAAAATATTGCTGAATATGTTCAAGGGTCAGTTGTGGAATAATTTGTGATATACTGTGTTTGAGAATGGATGTGTTACTGCCATTAAAGTTAAAAAAAATTGCTTGATATAAAAGAAAATATATTGTCTAATGTTAAAACAAACAGAAGCATCAACGGTTTAAAAGCATACCAATCCATCCAAGCGGAGAGCAAGAGCAACCTAAAAAAATAGTAATAAGAGCAATAAGAATGTGCTTTATGATTTAGAAGGAAAAGAGAAAAGACAATTTTTTGTGTTGTACCGCTGCAATATCTTCAAGATCCTGTTTAGACAAGTCTGGAGCAATCTTCACAAGCAACGGTGGGGGACCATCCTCAGCCCATTGCATCTCATCACGAGCAGCTTGAACCTACAAGTAGAATCACTGAAACAATCATCTCCATGATATATATGAAAATAGTAGTATATTAGGCTCATAATAATAGAAGAGCCGATTAGACAGATTCCAGTTCCAACCTTCTTTACAAGATCCTTCAATTGTTTCCTTCCCTGAAGTTTGCGAAGCCCAGGAGTGTTTGGGGAAGAGATATTTATAACCTGCAGATGTCACAAAAGGTCTAAAAAACTATAAAATTTTACAGTTGAAATTAATTGTAGAAAGTCAATAATTCTTATGAAATTATATTATTACATATATTTGGAAATTGGAATTGCATTGACGAAAATAGGAACATATAACTAAAAATTCTATCAGTGTCAAACACGTTCCAAATGTCCACTATTTTGTACGATGACAAAATAAAGTTAGAATTGAGGATAAGATCAGATAGCTCATGAAAAACTTGCTTGGTCGAAGGGAAAACATAAAGACGAAAAAACCCTAAGTAAATATGGCATGGTAATGGAATATTTAAGATAACAATTTTGATACCAGGACTCACCTCACATGCTCAAGCTCAGATTAACTTTTGTGTAACCTTACTTTTATTAGTCTTGAGTGATATCTAACACTTGCAGTCCTTAACTTTTGCAAGCTAGGTATGATTCATCTTTATTGATCTTAACAGAGTTGGATTATTACAAATCAATAACCATTTTATTAAGGAAGTATACAAGATGGTATGGGTAACTCATTTCCAAACTTCACAGAGTGCAAAGACTATAAATAGCTCCAGCATTTTATGTAAAATCCAGTGAAACTGCATCATTATGTGAAGCAAAATCCAGATATTGTCAATTCATGTAAAAATCCTGAAGAAAGTGAACTACACATTAAACAGCTTGTCTTGAAACAAAAAGGCTAGGTATGCCCTCATACAAAACCTGTGCAACTATTACAATGTTCCTAAAATTGATCAATGCTCTTTATTTGCTCCAGATGACACAGCTAACACAAGCTGAAGACTTGAACCTTATAATGGTTCAAACCACTCTCAAAACGAAAAGAAAATGTAAGTATGCTGCTTGAGAGAAATGATGTACTTATAACAAGTATGGTCCGGGTGCAAGCTCATTCCACACATTACATGCAACATGAAAAACATGTGTGGTTACAAAGTGAGCAATGGAAAATTATCCCAAATAACCCCCCATAACCTAGGTGTTCAGACGTGTACAATATAAAATTGAAATTCATGATAGAATCTACGAAGCTATGAATATAATGCATGATTAAGTGAAACTTGAACCATGATACTAAGGACAGTACGAGAACGGTACCAAGTAGTCTGCATACTGGGATAAGGTATGAACTCCTTGAACATAGTCAGCCACTGCATCTTCGCTTGTTTTGTTCTTTCCAATGTTGACTCCGAGAATGCCTGGACCTGCTTTCCCTCCTTGCTTTACTTCATCATTCATTGAGTGGGGAGAGCTTGAAGTGTTTTCCATCTTCCTCTTACCATGCTGAGCGCCAAGACGCTTTGCCACCACCACTATACCTTCACTATTGAACCCACATCGGTTGATGATAGCACTGCCAACAAAACAAACAACTTAGGGCATAATAAAAACTCCATCTCCCAAACACTATGTTTTAGCATGTAGTATCACCTACAAAATGGTTGAGATGGTAATCATACTATAAAAACATTGAGGCAACATACATGCTTACCCCTCCTTTGGCAATCTGAAGATACGAGGCTTAGGGTTACCCTCTTGTGGCATGGGGGTAACCGACCCAATTTCCATGAAGCCAAAGCCTAGCCCAAGTAGACCTTCAACTGCTTCAGCATGTTTATCAAAGCCTGCAGCGAGACCAATAGGGTTGGAAAACTTCCGTCCCCAAACTTCCAGCCCCAGTATAGCAGGATCGGGTCTTTTTTCCCTAGGGACAAACCCATGAGATGCTGCTGATACTGCCACACGATGAGCAGCCTCTGGATCAAGCAATGCAAATAATGGGTTCACAGCTCTTGTAGCATTGAACAACAATCCACTGCAAACATTACAGACGAAAGAAACTAAATGAGGATCAAGAATACTGTTAGATGAACTACAAAACAACTTACGAAAACATCGAACTGATCAACCAATAAGTAAGGTTTCCCTATCAGTCGACTGATCTTCAAGATTTTATTGAAATCCCCTTTAAATATTTTATGATAACCCCCCTCTTTCGTCTACAACTGACAGGAATTTTGCAAATAGTGATAAACTATTGGCATCAAAATATGGTAATAATTCATTTAACAAAAGAGATGGTCCTTAATAGAACTGAGTAAAAGAATATGATTCATGCAGCCAAGCTCAAAGTTTTGTATAAAGACTTTCTTGTTGTTGCTGATACAGCATTGGCATCAAGATGATAGGCAATTATAAGTATTTGGCGAATTCTTCATCAAACCTTAAAGATTTAGGATCAGCGTGCAGAGCAAACCACATTTTGGTGGGAAAATGGCTTGGAAGGTGATGGTGATCAGAGAACTAATGATATAGAATCTGAGATATCTGAAAGAGAACAAGAATTCAACCATGTAAAAAGAAGACATCGCACCTGGTAGAAACTGAAAGAGAACATGTGCGGGTTAAGGATCCTCAAACCTATTGAGCTTGTTTTGTAGTACGTACTATATTGCTGAGTATGTTAGTACTTTCTTTTTATTTAAACAGCCTAGAATGCATTTAAAGTCTAAACTCTTTTTAATAGTCTTGGTGAGGATTAAAAACATTGTTTTTAATTTTGACAGAAATCCAAAGATAAATTCATACTGGATAGGAACCAATTGAGGTTATAGAACTGATATAACTTGGTTACCTATTTAAAATTAGATTCAGATTCATATTCACAGACGGAAAAAGAAGAAGAAACTATTATGAATCCTACACTTTCCATGTTTAAGAGGGTTATTTGCATTAATAAATAAGGGCCAATTAGGAGTTTCAAGTATCTACAATAAGAGCCCATTCTCTTCTGAAATCGTACTAAATTTTATTTTGATGAGAACTTTAGGATTTTCTTTGAGATATTTTGATTAAGAGATTACTAAGTACAATTAGGGATTTAAGTACAAGAGCAATTCCACCATTTTGTACTCCTCACAGTTTTGATTAGTGGATTCAAATCCTCCTTTGTCCGGAGATACATGCCTCTAGTGTCAAACCACACAAATCTATGGTTTCTTCTAGTCACATAATTTTCTTTAAATTTTGTGCTTATGTCGATTTTGTCACAACAAACTGGTATTAAAGCTTCAGATTATTGGCTAGGGTATCAAGATGTTGACAACTGAGTTCAATAAAAGAGAAGCTCGATAACCTCATAAGAATCTTGACAGTTCTAAAGCAGAGACAAACATTGCTCTGTTGTCTTATGAGGCCCTACAATAAATGATTGAGAACGTCACTTAATGACTAGATGGAAAAAGTTCTAATATAATCGCACAGAAAAAGGAAAAGAAAATATTGCTCTGTATGGATAAATATGCATTCGCATACAGCAGAGAGAAACAATAACAACTGGGCAAACCAATTTTAACAAGAGCTCAATCAACAACCTTCAGCATATGCTGAAAAGTAGTTACGATATACAACAACAAAAAAGTACTGACGTAGCCTCATGAATCATTCCTTTGAACTAAACCATCAAACGTAATCAAGTCAAAGTAGAACTGAAATGGTAGGTTAATTCCGCAATGTACTGATAAAAGTAAGCGCAATCTTGCTCTAAATATCAAACAATCCCAACAATCCAAGTAGAAAAATCCATTATGCACTGAACTAAAGGCCAAAGAGCTTGCACTTATATTTTCAGTTAAGATTGGTTAAATTAGTAGGAGTACAAAATTTGCAAGAACATTTGGTAGTATATAATTTAAAGATGTAATTTTATGTACCAAAATGTCGCTTCATCTACGGTACTAACGTAAGCTCCTCCGGCTATCGCTAAACCTATCATTGTTCCAGTCAAGAGCCTACCCTGCAAAATAACAACAATAATCCCACGTAATCAAGAAAGAATAACCAAAATAAACAGTTATAGTACAGTATTAAGTTGATCAACATGGAAAATATAATGTGAAATTTGTGCACACCAAGTGTTTGCGTAAATTCCCACAAGAAAAAGAATAAAGGTTGAACCTTTTTGAGGGAAGGAGGGATTTTTGGAGCGGCTACATCTGAACCCGGAATCGAACTCGACAGCCTGATCCCAGCGGCTGAAAATTTCAGCCTTCGACCCAATATCTCTTTAAAGGAGCTCCTCCAAACCCTAGCCGCCATTGACGAGTAAAAGCCTAGGGAGAATCTAAACGCTTTTTTCGTGCCAAACAAAAGGAAGGAGGGGAGAGCGATTATTGGAGAGATCTATATAGGAGGTTGAAAAGGCTGACGCACCTGGTACGAAGCATCAGGATTCAATCATGTCACCTGTTAGCATGTTTAGCAAGTTGTTCATTTGCCAATTTTATTATTTTTTCAGAATAAAGAGAATTAAATAATGGCTAAATTGCACTTAAATATCTTATTGTTTACCAAAAAAACACTTATATACCACAAATTTTAAAACGAAGCAAAAAAAATAACCTAAGTTGTCCACCACGTGAATTTGCTTACCGAGGTTAAATTTAACCCGAAAATATGAAAATGCCCCTCTGCCAAGATAACCCCCATGGTAAAAAAAAACCACAAACTTTACTTTTATCATCAAATTTCCTCAAAATCTCTCCCCCACAAACTTTAGCCCTCACGGATGAGGGAGATCAGGTTAATATTGGGTTAACGAGATGTAGCAGGTGCTCCTCATTCTATGGTTTTGATTTGGGGGGAAATAGTTAGATTTTGAAGAGGAAGAATAAGGTGAAGAAAGAAGGAGAAATATTATACAATAAAAAGAGGGGTTAGTAGAGTTGTAATTAATACAACTAAGGGTAGTTTGCAGTTAAGATCAGTCACATGAGACAGCGCATGGGGATATTTTGGGAATATTTTCATGGTTGATTAACAGAAGATAGCAAACTACGCTTATTTTTACAACTAAGTGGGTTTTTTCAACTGAGTGGTTTTTCCCCTGCTCAGTTTTGAAACTTAAGAGTATATGGCAGTGTTTTTTTGGGGAAACAATAGGGCATTTAAGTGCAATTTAGCCTTAAATAATTCACAATATTGTTTTTTCCCCAGTAAGAGAAAGTATTATATTTGGCAAAATAGATCGAATCACAAAATATGAGATAATTGATAATTAGCATCCAAACTTTTCTGTTTTGAAACTTAAGAGTATATGGCAGTGTTTTTTTGGGGAAACAATAGGGCATTTAAGTGCAATTTAGCCTTAAATAATTCACAATATTGTTTTTTCCCCAGTAAGAGAAAGTATTATATTTGGCAAAATAGATCGAATCACAAAATATGAGATAATTGATAATTAGCATCCAAACTTTTCT